GAAGAAGAAGCAATCATAGAATAAATGTAAATCGAGTCAGATTTATAAATTTGTCACAATGTTTGTGTCAAGGATGGACCTCCTCGCGTATCCATTAATTACGTTTCGTGCATTTTAATCGCTTAATTAATCATCTGCATTTTAATTAAATTTCCATATTCGATCAAATTTAACTCTTTATCTCTCCCATTCCCTATATATTAAATATTCATCATCATTTCGTGAATTTTATGCAATATTTACTTATTATTAACAGAGTGATACAAGTTGAACGATATTTAAAATGTCGCTACGATCTAGCTAAAAATACAAAAAAAAAAAAAGAAAAAAAAAAAAGAAAAAAAAGAAGAAAGGAGGCTCAATTCTTTTCTTAGAACGATGAAATAAAAAGTTTTTCAAATTTCAACTTTTAAAACGAGAAAAAACTATTTCTGGAGGGAAGAGCTGATACGATACATTATTCATCGCCCCCATACGAATAAATTTATAAATATACGGGAATGGTGGAAAACGGTGTTATCGTTCAGACAGAAAAGTTCGATCCCGAAGTTACGATTCGACATTCTTCTATTTTTTCCGTCTAACGATAACTCGTTCTCGTATTCGTCGCTCTCCTCAGAGAGCCACCTGTTGACGTTCGACACAGAACCGAACCGATCCCACTTCCGCCATCTCCTTTTCCAATTCCAATCGAGATTCGCTCGTCTACACGTATATATTTTTAATTGACTCGATTTCTTTTCCTCTCTCTTTAAGGAGAAGAGAATTCCAAAAAATAATTGCCTCAATTTGTCGATCTACGATCGAAAGAATTCGTCATTTGCGAAACGTTTGATCGTGTTAAGATCCAACACTCGAGTAGCTTCAATAGTCTAACGATAATTTATGAGAGGATTATAGTTTCCTAACGCTTTCCAGATTCTTTCCAATTCAAACAAAGATACGAACGCACGAACAATTTATAAATAATAATTGTTTCAATTAAAATAACCATAAAACTATTATACGTTAAAATTTTAAATCCTCCTTTTAAACTTGTTTACATATATTTGGCAGAGAACTGTATAAATTTATCAAGAAGCCCTTAAATTTCAATTTCACAATTTTTTCAATTTTCGGATACGACATCTCGAAACGTCTATTTTGATTTAAAACTATCTGAAAATTAATATAAGCTCCAAGAATAGAACAAAAACAATTTTCTCTAGTTAAACCTTATCGTTCGCCTTCCAACGCGACTATTGATCCCTCTAAACTCGCATTTTCACGAAAAGTAAGGAAAAACTAAAGTTTCCAGATCAACAACGATATAATAATTCGCAAGAAAATACACTTAATTCGTTCACTCGAAGCTCACAATGTAAACGATGATCCTATATGGTTTAAACCACCACATATGTGCGATATTTAAGAATCGTCCAATTGTTTTAACGGATCGATTGCTTCGAGTTATTCCCTTTTTCTTTTTCCAGGAATTTCCCGATCAGGATGTGGTACATGGAGTACAAAGATTACAAATACGGCGACGACGAGGGGAACGATCTACACGAGATCGGGCATTACACCCAAATCGCGTGGGCGACCACGCATCTGGTTGGATGCGGCGTGAGCCACTGTACCGGTGGCCGAGGACCACTTGGCAAGGATTTCTTTATGTACGTCTGCAACTATGCCCCGAGGTGAGCGTATTTCCCTTTCTTTTCTGGATTATACTTCCTCTATCTAATTCCTTATCCTTTCCAAACTAAGGTAGGATAAATTTTGGGTAAGGACATCGAAACGGATATAATTTTTCGACAAATTTTATTCATTCTTACGCGATAATAACGTGGATAAATAAATTGGTTTTCGACTTTGTTGTATTAAAAAGAAAAAACTTTTGATCGAAAACGCGAATATTATTGAATCTCGTTTGTGCCTATCGCCACTCGTTAAGGAAGAAAAAGGTGGAACAAACGATGAAAGGGATGGAAATGCGGAGCGCAACAAAGTGTCGTAACAAAGTTGAAGCGGGCATTCCTCCTCCTCGTAATTGTCCATCCACCCGCGATCTCGTTTCGTCATTTCCCCCTCTCAGTCTCCCCGGCTCAGTCGTTTTGGAAGCGCGTCCAGATTCCTTCTCCCTCGAATCATCATTAAGCGACGAGGTTTTTCGTCGGGCTCGTTTCAAAAATATCCCCAAACTCCTGTTTTTGGGCGAGAGCAACGAACGATTATTTGAAATTACCACTATCTAATTCTGTTCACAACGAAAATCTCCACGATAATTTGCACAAGAGTCTCTTCTCTCATCACCACATTAACCTCCAACTTGAGAGATTTAAATTTCCTCTTGAATTTATTGTTCGAAAAGAGCGAACGAACGATTTCCCAAAATTACCACTTCTGTTCACGAACGAAATTCGATAATTCGTACAAGAGTCTCTTCTCTCATCACTACATTAGCCTCCAACTTGAGAGATTTCCTTTTAAATTCATTGTTTGAATTTCTTCGAGAAACGAAGAAAACAATAAGTGAAATAAGATAATTTATACAAAAACGGAATCCTCGAAAGAGGAATTTTCTTTTTTAAAGAAAGAAACGTAGATTTGCCTCGAGAAATTTCGTACAACGCGAATTTCCTCGGCTGCGAAATTGAACTTTCCAATTGATCGAGGCGAAGTAACAGCGGTCGAAATTTCGAGTATCGATGGAATTTCCATCCATCGATAGTTTTGCGTGCAAAAGTGTACGCAATCACGGTGATAGCGAGTTGGCATCGGGTGGGGGGGGAGGGGGGAGGGGAATTATCGCGTGTTGGCTTCGGGACGCAGCTGGTTCCCCGAGAACGGGGGGGGGAGGGGAGGAGGGGATTTACGGGGAGGGCGGCTCATTGTAATCGAAAAGTTTGCCGTGGCGCGGCGGAAGGCCACCGCCATAATCCGGAAAATTGCGGTCGGAGAAACGAATTTACGAGGACGCGCGTAATTTAAATTCCCTCCCCTTCTTTTCTTCGCTTTCCTCCACGGACTTTGCTCGTCCACGAATTGGTGTATCGGATAGGAAAGTTAAATGGAATCAAGGCCGATAGAAGGAGGATTTAGACAGCCTCGTACTGTCTTTCTCCTTTTTTTTCTACGATCTTAACTTCTGACCGAATTCGAATTACTTCGCATTCGAACGAAGTACAGTTGTACTTTCTCTAGAAAAATATTAGAAATATCAGGATATTAAAATGGTACCTTTAGAAATGTCATCGAAAAGAATATTAAGTTGTCGATGACAGTGAAAATTCTGCTAAGATCATGAAATATAATTTGATAGATATTTTAAATAGCGATTTTTTACTTCCTCTTCCAATCAAACTGCGAAACGTGTGACCGACATTCTTGTTGTTTATGGCACTATTGCAACTTAAATCGTAAAGCAAGGAGTTAATTATAAAGTATGGGAATAAATCCCTTCTTTTTTTCTACGATCGTAACTTCTCACCGAATTATTTTATCGTTCGTGACGGCATCCGAAACAGCGTTGTTTCATTTTTGAGAAGAGGAATGATCATCCGCGTCATCTCGTGGCTGAGCTATTTTCTATTTTCCCGATTTTCCCCATCGTAATAACTCTTTCTACTTTCATACTTCCTTCTCTTATCTGTTGTCTCCTTGTCCATCGTCGCGGAAACCGTTTAAATCCGTAACAAATAAACCGAAGAGTAAGAAAGAGCGAGGCAACGTTTCGAGGATCGCAGAGGAGAGGAAAAGGAGGAAACGCAAGGAAACGACGACACAAGGATAGAATTTTTCCTAGCAAGTGAAATTACACTTACTAGGTAGAAACGTCGTTTCAAAGGAATTCATCGCGATCTCATAAAAAGAAAAAGAAAATTTCGGGGAAAATTCAGGTTGCAATCCATCCGACTCGTGCCATCCACGATCTTTCGTGTTCCATCGAGGAGAGAAGAGTTATCGCGCTGGAACTCGTGACGAACGGTCGTCCGCGATGCAGTCCCCGATATTCCAAGGCTGTTCGTTCGTGATCTCGCCGACTATGGCGGTGTAACTCGACTTAAACGGCATCGTTCATCGGTTCACTACGAGCACTTCTTGTCACGCGAGTGTCTCGTTGTCTGGCAAGAAAAATGAGTAGTCGAATCTACTTGAACTCTTTATTCACGATATAGAAAGTACAAGTCAAAATTACCAAGACTGTCGAATACTGGAAGATTGTATGTCGAACACTGTTGGCGATTTTAAGAAGACTGATTTAGGCAGGAGCCTTTACTTATACTAGCGTTTTGCTGGTGTTTTAAGCAATTTTCACACGGTGCTTGATCTCCTGTCGCTGCTTAGTGTTTTAAGAAATCTTCACACAATCTGCACGCATAATTTTAGGTGTCACACGAGTGCCGTTATTTTAATTCGATCGAGCACGATCGATGATCTCGTTGGAAAGAAATTTCTGCAACTTTGAACGCGGCTACGCTTTTCCTTCGCCTTTGTCGTGAATTTATACTACTCGATGTCACTTCGTTTCTCCTTCCCCCTTTCCTCTCGCCTCTTCCATCTTTGATATACGCGTTACATTCGCGTCCCCTGCTCGAATCATCCCAATATCCCCCTTCTTCTATTTTCCTCCTCTATTGCTTCCCTTTCTTCGCAGCGGTGTGCATTATCGACAAGGTGACTCGAGATGACAACGTAAAAGAGAAATTTTAACGTGCACGGTTGAATTGCGTGCATCCTCGCGAGAAACGTGTTGTTTGTGCGTCACGAGAAAAAAGAGAAGGGGAAGAAGGGGTGGGAGGAAGGTGAATTACAAAGTGTTCCTAATAGGTGGCGTGTACCCATCCAGCTTTTTGCTGAGAAGAGGGGCACGTCTTCTCGAGAGAAGACATCGCCTGACGTTTGACCCACTTCCACGATCTCTCCTTGCACGCGCTCCCCACTTTTTGGCCACCCTTTGCAAACCATCGTCTTTTTTTTTTTTTTTATTCGCGAGAAAATCACCACGCGATATACCATGTATTTTCATCTTTGCTTCTTCCATCTCTCTCTCTCTTTTATTATACAAAAAAAAAAAATATTAAAATTAAGCGTGGAAAAAAAAATTGGAAATTTTTGAAGGGTGTTTCTTTACGATAAAAATTTTAAATTGTGGTAAAATATTTCACGTGTTTCGCGTTGTTACATCCCGTAACGTCAAATTGTCGACAAATGGATTAAACTGGGACAAATAAACAGCATAGCTTTGTCACGTTTTAAAATGAAATATATAGCGATATTATGAAAGCGGCACAGCAGCTCCCGCAATTTTTTCCGTAAATGCCCGAAATTCCCGAATAACGCGTGCAATTTGACTCGGTTTTTTCCCCCCCAATTGATCCGATTGGACCAAGTGTTTGCAGATTGCAGCAAGATTAATTCCAATAAATCGTTCGATAAAAAAATTCAAAATTACTTTACCTCTACTTCTTACTCTTATAGAAGAATATCGAGTTAACGAGTTGCCTTGGAACGAAAGGAAAAACTATTCCGCTAAAACCGCGATCTTAAGACAGCTTAAAAATTCCAAGTTCCAAACTTCTCCATCGGGACAGTCACCGATGATACGAACTTTCCTTTTACCTCCATCGATAGTTAAAACATACGAAACTTCAATATCACCTTTCAAGTTTCGTTCAATTATCATTAATTAAAAATTTGCTATATATTGAACATAAAAGAAAGTGCTTTTTCAATTAAAATTATGAAAATAGCTCCATTCGATCTCTCTCTTCCTCCCCTCTTTCTCTACACAGTTCAGCTATAATTCCATACAATTTATCCGAACAACGATCGACCCGCGCTACTTGTTTAACCACGATCATTTCATTCTACTTATCCGACCATGATTGTTTCCACTTCACCTGTCGCCAATTATTCACCCTACCTATTTTCCACATTCCACTTCCTCGCGTTTCAAACTCGATCCTTCCTTCAAACGATCAATAACAACTAATAACAACAATAATTTTTGAATTTTCCTAATTTTCCTGCTTTCCCAGCGCAGAGGGCGATAAATAAAAGCTGTCAAGGGACGCGTACTTTTTTTCGCCTCGTAATTAATTTCACGGCGGGTCATTTGAATTCAAAGCGGCGGCGGCCCGCCACGAAAAATACTTTAAATGTAAATTAATCGGGGAGGATCGGCCCCAACCCCTCGTTCCCAATCTGTTTGTCGTTTTTCGCAAACGCGAAACTCGAGACGAAGAAGAAGAAGAGGAAGAAGAATAGGAGGAAAATCGCTTCTCGTGTTCTCGAGCTGCAATCGTCGTGAAACGTCTTGAAACGTCACGGCTTAATTGTCTGAAAGTAAAGTCGAGGCAAAGATTGCTCGGAGGGGGAAGGAGAGCGATTCGAAGCGGGTAAACGCGGAGTTATTAGGGGAGCATTTGCCACGGGGTGAGTGGAAGGAGAGGAGGGGCGAAATTGATGGGGAGAAATGAACGAGGCTGGAGGAGAAGCTTTTGTCCCGTTCTTCGAAACGAAGGGAACTCGCTTCGATTGCGAGAATAAGAGAATTATTCTTTTTTTTTTTTCTTTCTTTTTTTTGGTTGCAGAATTAAGCAAGATTTGCTTTTTTTTTTTGGTATGACAATTATGATTCGTGGAACGGAATGGTAATTGTTCGAAGGATGATTATTATCGTGAAACTTGAGACATAGACGAGGAAACGAAATAGGAGCAATTAAAATTTTTTAGATTAGAAAACGATACTACCTTCCACGCTTGAATCCAAAGAATTTGAAGCTTTTTGCCGGATCGTTGTCCAATTACGGAACAATACCGTCATTCGATATATTTTCCAATATTCGAAACCATTTGAAACCACCTTGAAATCCTTTCCACTAAACCAGTCTCTAATTAACCAAAAATTCTCTTTATCAAAACGGCGTATTATATCTCCTTCACCAAACTCTCTAATTAATTACTCAAAAATCCTCCATTACAACGCCAATCGCACCTCGATCCAAGAATCTTCTCCAACAGATCCAATTACGCAAAATTTAAGATTTTTTTTTTTTACGCTGGAAAACAATACTGTCATTCGATATATCTTCCAATATTTCAAACTTGAAACCAAGAATCCTCTCCAACAGATCCAATTACGCAAAATTTAAGATTTTTTTTTTTTTACGCTGGAAAACAATATTCGATATATCTTTCAATATTCCAAACTCGAAACCACCTTGAAATCCAAGAATTTTCTTCAACAGACCAGTCTCTAATTATTCAAATATTCTCCACCACAACGATTCTCTAATTATCCAAAAACTCTGTATTACAACGGCAATCGCACCTCGTTCCAAAAAATCCTCTCCTCGCTATCCAATTACAAAACAATACTATCATTCCGTATATTTTCCAAATCCAAGAATCTTCTCCCTCACGAATGTTTTAATCAGCGATTCTTGAATTGTTGGTTACAGCGGGAATTACAAAGGTCGGCTGGGCCACCCGTACGTTGCCGGGAAACCGTGCACCATGTGCAAGGACCACTGTTCGAGGAACAAGCTTTGCACGAACGCGTGCCACTACGTCGATCTCTGGTCGAACTGCGTCGAGCTGGCGAGGATGTTTCGCTCGTGGGTCTGCGAGACGAACACGAGCGAGGGCCGCGAGCGGCGGAAGTTCTGCGGCGCAACGTGCAATTGCGAGGGCAAGATCTACTATCACCACGGGTAGTGAACCCTTCCAACCCTTTCCTTCGCCCCCATCCTCGCGTCGATTCATCGTTCGCTCATCCTCCCCTCCTCTCTCGGGACGTAAGGTCGATACGATGCGAAATAATTTCGAGGTTTTGGAGGCGAGACGGGTTCCACAGGCCTTCGAGACTTGGAACAACGGGGAAATTGTAATTCCTCGATGAAAGGGACGAATTAGAGTTTCGTCGAATGAAATCGAGGGATTTGCGGCTGCTTACACTTTGCCCTTTGTTATAATTGGTTTAGGGGCGTCGATCATTTCCACACAATTTCGTCGTTTAAACTTTCGATAGATTTGCCGGGCGAGTAATTACATGATTGGTTTCGAAACATCGGCTTCTCGACTTTTCGATGTACAATTCTTTGACGAATGCGGGAAGAATCGATAAATACTTCGTTCGAATAAAATTCGCGCGATAAGAAACGTTTAATTCTTTAACTGCGGATACTTTTAGCGCAGCCGAAAAAAGAAAAAAGATATTTCACCAAAATCAAATCATAACACGATAGACGATATGCGATAATTATTTTATAAATTACGAAAAGTATACGAAGTAAGAAAGTATCGTATAAACAAAGTGTAAACGTACAAGTTGTTATGTTACAGAAGCCTAAAATCTCAAAATTTATACTAAAAACTTCATCGCTATATTCGTCAATATCTCGTTCAACGCTTTTCGAGAAACTGGAAGAAATAAAAGACGATTTCCGTATTAGAGAAAGTTCACAAAGATATACATATTGAAAATGAAACTAATCTTTTATCTCGTTAACCAGGACGAAAATAAAAAATAAAAGCACGACGAAGAAAAGGATAAGAAAAATGAAACGAAAACAAACATAATTCTAATTTTAAATTATATTTATCGAAGTGAGATTCTATATTTTAAAAGATTTTTCCATTCATTTTTATCTCAGCTTATTTTATTTCATTCATGTTAATAAAAATTAACACGTTGTTTGTCCGCCTATAATTTTGGAGCACGTTTGGTTTATAAACCATAACCCGCAGTCAAAGGGTTAAATCGTTCTCAAGAAGTTTTCTCCTCACGTTTGATACATAATCACAAGATATATCCACGGAATCGCTTCGATGCATCCCTTAGTCGCGAAGTTAAATATCATCAGAGGGATGATTCGTTTGTTTCGGGGGAGAAAGTGAGGGAGAGGGGATAAAGCGCGGCACAATCGTGAAGCGGATGAGAAAGCAAATTGAGCTGGATCAACTTGTTTCCCGAGAAGAGTTTGACTTTCCGAATTCCTCGGGTTTTAATATATTTCATTCCAGCATTCCTTTATTTTACCCTCTTACGTAAACGCGAGTAACTTTTTAATTTTTAAATCCAAGAATTTTGAATTTTTTCGCCAATAAGAAATAATATCTTGCGACGAAACTTGACATTCGATCTTCTATTCGTCAAATTTATTCCGATTTCATTTTTCTGTTTTGATACACAGGGAAAAGAAAAAAGATGAATTGCGCAGAATCTGGACACACTGTTCGACCACGATCGAACGATAAAATATAAAATACGAAGTTAAAACGCCGCAAATATTTTTCTTTGGAGGGAAATTTCAAATTTCCTGGAACAATTATTAAATTTAAATAAACATCGATACCGGGTATCATTGCAATGGTATTCTATGCTTCCAATTTTTCGTTCTCATTTTGAATAACGATCGAGGAACAATTTTCCCTTTTGCTCCACGAATTCGTTCGTTCGACAACTCTCGTCGTCCCGGAAATTTACTCTATTTTCTTCGAGCCCTCTTGGCTCTCCTTTTGAACCGTTCTCGTCGATCGAACAGGAACAATCCCCCTAAGGCGAGCCACGATGGGGTTGAATGGGTGGAGTAAATGGACGAGGGATAAAACCAAGCCGAGTCCCGCGAAACGGAGAGAATCAGGCGAGATCCTTTTGATATTTGTAAACGATAAGAGTGTGTCTATATATAGACGTGCATGCGGTGTGTAAATACGTATAGATAAGCGATAAATAGATAAATAAATTAATAAATAATTATATAATTAAATTCGTAGGTGAAAAACCGTGGTTGGGTGTTTCTCGGTGCTGTATTAGATTCTGTCGTTTGATTCTGGACGTTCGGCGAGCTGTCGATAAAAATCGTTGCTCCTAATGTTATTACGAGGTTTCAATTATTTAAGATTCAATTAATATTGTAACGTGTAATATTTAATTTAACGTGATTTAATGGAACGTACGTGTTGAAATAGAAAATGAATAATTATTCTACAATTTTAATTAATATCCATTCTTAATATAAATTTTAATGAATAGTATCGATAGGATACGAATATAGATCGATATTTTAAGATCAAATTTTATTTCATTTTTTTTATTTATTTTAATATCAGTTTGAGAGTGTAGGGTTAATATAAGGTTAATTCTACAATTTTAATTAATATTAATTCTTAAGTATAAATTTTAATGAATAGTATCGATAGGGTACGAATATAGATCGATATTTTAAGATCAAATTTTATTTCATTTTTTTTATTTATTTTAGTATCAGTTTGAGAGTGTAGGGTTAATATAAGGTTAATTCTACAATTTTAATTAATATTAATTCTTAAGTATAAATTTTAATGAATAGTATCGATAGGGTACGAATATAGATCGATATTTTAAGATCAAATTTTATTTTTTTTATTTATTTTAGTATCAGTTTGAGAGAATTAATAATAGTTTATAGGATTAATAATCGACAATGATTGGATCATACTGGAAAAGAATTTTTAAAATTTTATATAATTTCAATTTATTCTTTTTTAATTCATGTACGAATTAATTTAGTTTTATCGACGAGCTCGCACGTCGCCTAAACGTGGGACTAAAAGAAAAAAAAAAAAAAATGTATAAACGTAACCGGAACCCCTATCTCTTAACGTGTTTAGCGACGTAAGATTATATAAGATAGTCAATGTATACACACGAAATTGCGAATAACAATTTAATCTCGTGATTTTATTTAAACCCTCGATCTCGAGAACTTATGAATGCAACCGTTTTAAATCTAAAAAGAAGAAAAAAAAAAAAAAGGGGAAAAGGATCTAACCACTTTTGAACGAGAGAGAACAAATGATTACAAATCGCTTTATAAAAATTGTAAATAAATTTGGATCTCCACATATCCGTTCAGACAATTACTAGACAATTTAAGGAATTTTAATTCCGTTCAAATCATTGTCGTCAAAAATTTCATCCATCCTGTTGATTACAAATCATTGTTTAACGCAAGCCTTTTATAAAAAAAGAAATTCTTCCGAAAAGAAGAAATCCGTCTTCTCTCTCTTATCCATCGCTGCATTCACGAGTACTCGACGAGAAAAATGTAAATCTTTTCCACCGATATATTTGTAACGCTATGGAAAACGAGGATTATTTTCTTTCGGATTAGATAGATTAATTCACGCTTGTGACTGCGAAAGTAACAAAAAAGCCGAGTTTAATTTTTCCTTTCGCGGAAAAAAAAAAAAACAAAAAGAAGCCTGTGAAAATATTTTACGAATAATTGTTCAGATAATTATATCCCAATTTTTGTTTTCTAAATTTGAAATTTCTATGAAGATCTTCTTTAAAATTCAACTTTCCTACTTCGCACTCGTCACAAGCGCGCTCGTTCATCCTCGATCGATGATCCCCGCAAATGTATCCCTCAACAACTCGTTAGAACTCGTTTGCTACCGTGTTTACTTTGAAACAAATTATCAATTATATTTTTCATCGCGTTTCACGGTCTCAGTTCTCATCGAACCAATTATAAAGCGGGAGAAGAGTGCCACAACAACGGAGAGAAAGAGTGCCACGGATGCAAAGAGGAAGAGATTTATGGATTGGGGGAAGGGGAGAGGGAGTGAGAGGCGTGCCTAGCAAGTAAAAAAAAAAAAAAAGGAAAACGTTTTAAATAGGAGAAAAGATGAAAACACGAGACGTAAACGCAGTCGATAACAATAGGAGACGATTAATTGGATCGACGATTAGTTGTGAGGTTACGATCAATGTAAACGATGTAATACGTTTTGTCTGTTCTCAAAGAGGCGAAAAGACCCACCGTCGAGTCGATCGAAAAACGTTGTAACCTGTCATAACTTCGTTCACTTACCGAAATAAAGATCCTGTAAATATTAATTGGTAAATATTTTTATTGTATTTTTGAGTGTATGCCGAGAATATGTTGAGAAATTATATTATTAATAAGTTTCATTTTCGTTTGGGGATTTAGCTTGGACGAGGAAGAGCGATAGAGATGGAATGACAGAGCGACAGTGATAGAGATTTGTAATTTATTAAACCGATTAAGGCTTCATCGATACTTTTGTATACTGATTTTTGTGCTCGTTTCGGCCTCTTTTGAACAATCTTTAACACGTATAAGTGCAAGTTGTAGAACGTAGAATTTTTAAGACATACACTCTTTTTGAAACAATTCTTCGACAATTTGGATTAATTTCTCTTATTTCTCGACTCACTTTTAACGACGATTAAAAATTGTTGCTGCGACTATATCAAAAGATGCAGACGTACGATATCCAGACGTGGTAAGTTTCGTTCACTGATAATTTTTCGGGGGCATAATATCAGATATCGGAGAAAACACCCTGTTGGAATTACCTTTCCTGGAACACATCCGCTTTCTAAATGGAGCGTTATATAACGCAAAGAAGTAGCGCATAGAATTATAGGGAAACGCATTTCCTTTTTACGATCGAGTATATCGATAGTTAAACTTTAGGTACTTTGAGAATTTCTTAAACTTTAATCACCCAATTATTCTTCCAAACCATGAAATTTTCACCGAGTTGAAAAATTACAGCGAGAAAATTTTTTTTTTTTAAAGTAGTATCGAATTTTGATTCCAAATTTAATTTTCCACTCTTTCGACCGAATCAACGTTCCCCTTTTAATTCCTGCGATTCTCTCTTTTTCTTTTATATGTACTTTCGAAACATAAAAAAAAAAGAAAAGAAAAAAATATTCATCTTAAGGAAGATGAAAATTTTGACCGAATCAACGTTCCCTTTTTTAATTCTTTCTCTGTCTCTCTCTTTTCCTTTTATACTTTCGAAACATAAAAAAAAAAAAAAAAAAAGAAAAGAAAAAAATATTCACCTTAAAGAAGATGAAAATTT